CCCCTTTCTGGACCTCAGTAATTCATCTGCAGAATATTGGACTCGCCTAAGCTACTCCCACTCCCCTTCCCCACTTACCACCCGCCCTTGAGCTTTAATTACCAAGATAAAGGCGTTGGTAGATTGGAGTTGGGGGGAGATCTCTCCTAGGATCTGTGGAAGCTGAATTAGGGAGGTTTAAAACTAACTTTATAGTTCAGACTCTGAAGAGTTGGAACTTTGCCCTGGCCGGTCTGCCCCGTTGGTTAGAGTACCGTCAGGATACACCAAGGTTTCGGGTTCGATCCTCGGTCAGGGCACATACAAGAATCCACAAATGAATTCATAAATAAGTGGAACAACAAATCAATGTTTCTCTCTTTCTCTCAACTCCTTAAATACGGGAAATTATTTAAGACGGAAAATAAAATAAAAAAGAACTTCATTTTGCAGTCCTGTAGTCCAGACGTTCATCTAGTGCCCTGGTGGATGGGCATTCAGACTTTGAACATTATCAGTGATGAAGAACTCACTGTAACACAAGGTAACTTATTCTGTTCTTGTACCTATTTTATTGGGTAAAGTTTTTTGGTTAGAAAGTTTGCATATAATGCTTAACTTTGGTCTAAATGCTGCATAAAATAAGCATAGAGTAGGGAAGTTCATGCTCTCTTTTTAAAAATATGCTTTTGATATTTTAGAGAGAGAGAGGAAGGGAGAGGGAGAGTGAAACATTGATGAGAGAGAAACATCAATCTGCTGCCTCCACCGCTGCTGGGGGTCGAACCTGAAACCTGGGCATGTCCCTGTCGGGGAATCGAACTGGTGATCTCGGTGTATGGGAGGATGCTCAACCAACTGAACCACACCGGCTGGAGCCACACTCTTATTCATTCATTCATTCATTCATTCATTCTTTACTAGGGGTACTAGTTGAAAAAGTCCTTTTCCTGAAAAACCACATGGTTTTTTTGTGGAGGCAGATAGGAAGGAGACAGACAAGAGGCAATTACAAAAGTTATAATTATTATAAAAGAGGTTGCAAAAAGGTGCTAGAAGAACATGAAAGAAGATACCATCCAATTTAGGTTAGTGTTGCTCCTAAACTGTGATAACTGGAATTGAAAGCAAGCGTCAGAAGTAACTTAGTACGGAGAACAGTAGGAATCTCTCTCTTGTTTACAACACAAAATTTCTGTTAATATCGCCTAACCTCTTTATTTATTTATTTGTTAATCCTCACCCGAGGATGTATATTTTTTTTCCATTGATTTTTAGAGAGAGTGGAAGGGAGGGAGGGAGAGAGAGAGAAACATGGATTGGTTGCCCCCTGCATGACACCTGGACTGGGGCCAGGAATCAAACCTGCAACCCAGGTACATACCGTTGGCGGGAATCAAACTTGTAGCCTTCAGTGTGTGGGCCTGTGCACGCTCTAACCTCTGAGAAACACTGTCCAGGGCAAGGCCTAACCTCTTTAAACAAACACATTCTACTTTTGGATTGTTTCTGTTAATGGAAATAACCTGTTTATGCAAACAGAAATGGAGAACATTTATTGATCTAATAAATTACTATCTAATGATGTAACTGCTGTTTTTAATTTAGTTTATGACTGAAGAAGCAGATTCAGGTTAAGTAATGTATAGATGGTCACAAAGCTGGAGAGAATCAGACGTGGGAAACAAATCCAGACAGTTTGACTCTGCTTGGTCTCAGCATCGTGCTATTCTACCCTCCTGATGGTAATAATAATCACTGACACTGATCATTTACTATGTAATTCTTTTTTTTTTTTAAATATATATTTTATTGATTTTTTACAGAGAGGAAGGGAGAGAGATAGAGAGTTAGAAACATCGATGAGAGAGAAACATCGATCAGCTGCCCCCTGCACACCCCCCACCGGGGAAATCCCTGCAACCCAGGCACATGTCCTTGACCGGAATCGAACCCGGGACCTTTCAGTCCGCAGGCCGACGCTCCATCCGCTGAGCCAAACCGGCTTTGGCTACTATGTAATTCTTATAACAACTCTGATGAGGTAAAAACAGTTCTTTTTTACAGTGGAGGAAACTGAAGTTTAGAGAGGTTAAGTCACTAAGCAAGATAATTTACTAATCAGTGGAATTGGGATTTTAACTCAGACACTCTAACCACTCTCTGTCCACTTCACCTAATGGAAATAAGGTGCATTTGATATAAAGGACTGTGTTCATGACTGAATATGAGTAAGTGAAAATATATTTGAGGAAGTATTATCATAGTTAATATGAAGGTGATAAAAACTTGCTTTTATCCTTTCAGGATGGAACAAAAGTAGGACTTTTAAAATGTTGCCCAGTAAGAAGAGAAGAACTTCAGAGACTGAGTTCCCACAGCATCAGGGCAACCTGGAGGAAGAGGACTTAGACCTAGAGTCAGCTGTTCAACCAGAGTCTGACCAGGTTAAAGACTTGGGGTCAGTGTCACTGGCCTGGGGTCGAAGTCATGGTAGTGCAGCTGGTCTGGAGGTTGAATCTGTGCAGGATGCAGGAAATCAGGTTGGTGTGGAAGATCCATCTTTGAGTCCCAGGGTACTCACCCAGGACACAAGTGCAGCAGTTCTAGAAGCTGTTAATATGGCCATCTCAACGGGAATTGCCCTACCTTCCTTGGAGTCTTCCCAGCCCCTTAACGTACACATTGATAAAGAAAAACTCCTTGCCACTGGTTCAAAGAGAGGGAAGAAAATGACACTCAGGCCCAAGCCAGTTACCCAAGAAGACGGAGGTGATCATCTTATCTCAAAGGAGCCTTTTTCAGGAGAGCCTAGTGAGGACGTCAAGGAAGAGGGAGGTAAGCTGTGCATGGTCTTGCTATGTTTTTCTTGTCAGTGGTTTGGCATTGTGTTTGCCTTTGCTACTGCACTCTTGTCAGTGCCTTTACAAAATTTAGTTTTTCTGAAAGGGGATCTTGATTTGGCATGGAATTGGAATTGCAGAGTTCCGAAGGTCAGCAGTGAACTTTATGAATGGGTGGAGGTTTTCTTCTCCCCTCCCATTCCTTAAATTTTCTGTGTCCTTTTCTTTCCTTTCTCTATCCTTTCTTGTCTGGAGGTATGAACTATGTGATTTGGTGCATACCTATGACGTGGGGCTTGTGGAGGAGGGTCGGTGGCTTAGAGACTACTGCATTGGGAAAGGCTTTACCTAACCCTTAGGACTTGAAGGATGAGTTGCAGTTTGACAGAATGATGGCATAGGGTTTCATAGGCCAACAGTAGTCAGCTCAGATGTCAGTGGCAGAAGATGGTGACATTGCTTGGAAGAAGTGGTGAGAGATGACTTCAGAGTGGTAGATTGTGCTTAGATTGTGAAGGGTTTTATTTTCCATGCTCAGGTGTTTGAACTTTTCCTGTAGGTGATAGCTAACTCTATATAATAAAAGGCTAATATGCAAATCAACTGAATGGTGGAATGACTGGTTGCTATGATGTACACTGACTACCAGGGGGCAGACGCTCAATGCCGGACCTGCCCCCTGGTGGTCAGTGTGCTCTTACAGGGGGAGGGCTGCTCAACCAGAAGCCCTGACCCAGGCTCACGGTTGGTGAGCCCAGTGGCGGTAGCGGGAGCCTCTCCCGCCTCTTTAGCTACAGCCGGCTTCGGTTCTAAGCCAGGGGTGGGCAAACTTTTTAACTCGAGGGCCACAATGGGTTCTTCTAACCCATCAGTTGGACATCCCCGGAGGGCTCCCAGACTGCGAGAGGGGCAGGCCGGGCTGAGGGACCCCCTCTCCCCCAAGTGCATGAATTTCATGCACCGGGCCTCTAGTTGATGCATAAAAGAAGCAGAAGACATAGTTCTAACCTCAGGAAGCTTATAGTTTAGTTGGAAAGACAAGACATAAACATTTGGAACAGTATAAGACAACATGTGATTAATTTGTGTGCTGTGTTTGTGTGGGAATGTAGCAGGGCTTCAGAAAGAAAGGGCAGATCAAGGTATTCACAGCCATGCTGTTATCCCCTTAAGACCTTATAAAGAATAGAGAATAAAGAGTATAATTTAGACTTGACAAAGAAATAACTAATGTTGCTCAGAGACTGCTGTGATTTAAGGTATCTGGATTGGGGGATGGTGAAGCATGCTGTCATAATGGGGAACATATTTGAGGGGCTGATTGTTAAATTTCTTTCTATAAACTAAGTTGTAATGGTGACACGAAGACAGGAAGAACTGGAAAAAAATACAAGATTAGAGTGCTAAACAAGGAATGGATAATTAAGTAGGGGTTCAATGTCACTTAGCTATTGAATGGAATCTAGAGATTTTTAAAAAAATTGGATTTATTGGGGTAACATTGGTTAGTAACATGGTGCAAATTTCAGGTGTAGAACTTTATAATATGACATCTGTCTGCTTATACCACTGAAGTCTAGTCTCCTTCCATCACCATGTATTTGACCCCCTTTACGTCTTTGTCCTTCCCCGCCCCACTTCCCCTCTGGTAACCACATTCTATAATGTATATCATTTATAGTTAACTAAATGTGATGTTAATGGTCAACTATATAAATTGTCCCTTTGTCATCAGCAATATAACACTTCCCCTCCCCCCATATGAATCTGATTTTTCTATCTATAATAATAAAAGTGTAATATGCTAATTAGACCCGAGGACCTTCCGGAAGAAGCCGGGGCTGTGAGGGAAGCCCAGGTCCCGGGTGCTGAGGGAAGGAAGGCTTACTCTTGCATGAATTTCATGCATCGGGCCTCTAGTAGGAAATAAATGCATAGCTCTCAGTGTAATAGAGCTAGAAAGATCTTAGCAATTATCTACAATTCCCTGACATTATAGATGAGTAAATTGGATGTGAGCATATTTCAATATTTTTCTTAGGACACTGTCTTTAAGAGAGAGGAATGCCTGTATAGTATAAGCATCATTAACAAAGTTATTTACCTACAAAGGACTTTATAACAAGATCCTGATTTCTACAGTAGAGTATGACTAAGAATGGTGAAAGTGTGAAGCAGTGTTTGTAATTCTTCCAGGAAAACCTCAGATGCATTCTGGAGAAGAGATGCCTTTATTGCCATCAGGCAGCCACTCTGTAAAACTAGGAGCCCAGCCTAGGAAATCATCTCAGCCAGATGCCTGTGCGTCTCCTCAAGGAAAGCCATTCAGGACTTCAGATCACCAAGCCGAGGAAGAGATAGAGGATGATGGACTCTTTATTCCAATGGGTAGGCTCTCTTTTTCTTTCTTTCCTTTTTTATTTTAAAATTAACCCTCTTTATTGAAGTACAATATGCAGAAAACTGCACATATCCTAAGATATAAAAGTTTATTGAATTTTCAGAGTTTGAATGCACCTGTGTAGCCACCAACCAGATCAAGAAAAGAATATTACTGCCCTGGCGGGGTGGCTCAATTGGTTGGAGTGTCAGCCCATACACCAAATGTTTCCAGTTCCATTCCCGATCAGGGCCCATGCCTGAGTTGTAGGTTTGGTCCCCAATTGGAGCATGTATGGGAGACAGCTAATTGATACTTCTCTCTCGCATTGATGTTTTTCTTTCTCTCCCGGAGTAACTATTATTTTATTTGTAAAGTGGATCAGAGGCTCTGAACTCCTGGAGTTTAAACATTTTTATTAAGAAAAAGAATGCGAGCCAAAACGGGTTTGGCTCAGTGGATAGAGCGTCGGCCTGGGGACTGAAGGGTCCCAGGCTCGATTCCGGTCAAGGGCATGTACCTTGGTTGCGGGCACATCCCCAGTAGGGGGTGTGCAGGAGGCAACTGATCGATGTTTCTCTCTCATCGATGTTTCTAACTCTCTATCCCTCTCCCTTTCTCTCTGTAAAAAATCAATAAAATATATTTTTTTTAAAAAAAGGAAACAGAATATTACCTGTACTCAAAAGTACTCCCTTTAAGTTATTACCAACACCTTACCCCTGGGTAACCATTATCCTGACTTCTAGCAGCATAGATTGGTTCATCTGTTTTGTACTTTGTATGAATGGAATATAAAGTATGTTGTGTGACTGTCTTTTTTCACTTAACTATATATTTATGAAATTGGTCCACATTGTTTCATGTATTTGTGGATTGTTCATTTTCTTTGCTATGTAGTATTCTGTTGTTGAATGTTCTACATTTTCTTTATCGATTCAACTCTTCCCTGGCCAGTGTGGCTCAGTTGGTTGGAGTGCACCGAAGGGTTGTGGGTTGGAGTCCCGGTCAGGGCACATACCCAGGTTACAGGTTTGATCCCTGGTCAGGTGCATACAGAAGACAACCATAGATGTTTCTCCCTCTCTCTCTCTCTCTAAAATAAAAGCAAAAAAAACCCCACTCTTAATGGACATAAGGATCATTTCTAGTTGTAGGCTACTCTGAATGGTGCTGCTGTGAACATTGTACTATAGATCTCCCGGTGAGCATATGTACTTTATTTTCGTTGGGTGGAATTAATAGGTTATAGAATTAGTCCTCCCTAAAAATTCTTTGAACTATATTTTTGTGCAATATAACACATACAGACAAGTAAAAAGACTTCTTTATTCAACTTAAGTGGCTTTAAGTGAACCCCTGTGGTTTCTTTTTTCATATATTGCAAATTACTCTGTAGGTTAGAAGTGGTGATAGTGAGCATCCATGTCTCATTTCTGAAATTGGGGTAAGGTGTTCAGTGTTTCTCCATTATGCATGACAATAGTTGTAGGCTTTTTACTTCTTTATTTTTTAGAACATTTTTAATTTTAGAGTAAGGGAGAGAGAGAGAAACAACGATTTGCTGTTTTACTTATTTATGTATTGGTTGATTTGTATTTTCTGTTTGTTAATCCTTGCACAAAGATATTTTTTCCATTGATTTTTAGAGATGGTGGAACGGAGGAGGCTGTGTGGAGAGGAAGGGAAGGAGTGACAGAGGAAGAGAGAGAGAGAGACATCAATGTGAGAGAGATACATCAATTGGTTACCTCCCAAGCGCACCCCAACTGGGGCCAGGGGTCAAACCTGCAACCCCAATATGTGCCCTTGACTGGGAATTAAACCTAAGACCCTCTGGTGCACAAGCCAGTGTTCTAACCGTTGAGCACGCCGGCCAGGGCAGGAAGTTTTTTCTTTTCTTGGTTATATTTGTGCTCCTTTCTTGTAGAATGGAGATACTTGGTATCTTTTTGTGTGTGTGTGTGTGTGTGTACCTTTTTTATTTGTGTAATTCAGAGTGGAATTTTTATAGCTTTGTTCGTTGTTTTTCTCTTTTCTACATTGAATAGTAATATTATGATAAGTTACATTTATATAATGTTTCATTGATTATATAGCACTTTGATATATATTATTTAACTTAATCTACGTGGCTTCCCTGATAGGCAGATATCTATATTTTATAAAAGAAAAAACGAGACTATTGCCAAGGTTACCCTGTTAAGCTGTAGAACTGGGCCACAAACCGAGGGTTTTCTGTGCGTTATCTGGGCAATGTGGAGTAATAATTAAGACTGCTGACTCCAGAGCTGGACTGCTTGGCTTCAAAACATGGCTCTGTCATACTGCCTCTTCAGAAACTTTCTTATCTCTTAGCCTCTGTTTCCCCACCTGTACAGCGGAAAAAAGAATAGTTTCTATTTCATAAGGAGTATTACTTAGGAGTAAGTGAATGAATACATATAAAGTGTGTAAAGACTGCCTGACAGAAAGTTAGGTCTTATTACTAGGACAGTTCTGTCACCTCCACCGTTACCACCACTGCCACAGCATAAGCTTTGGTTTCCAGGGCCGGACAGCTGGCAGCTGGTTTCTCTTTTACAAGGTTGCCTTTTGGGGTTACGTTTGGGGAGCAGTTGCTTTGGAGATTCTGGTGATGCTCTTGGTTTATTTGCAGAAGAGCAAGACAGTGAAGAAAGTGAGAAAAGGCAGAAAAAGAAAAAGGGTACCAAGAGGAAACGAGATGGAAGGGGTCAAGAGGAAGGGACTTTGGCTTATGACCCAAAACTGGATGACAGGCTGGACCGTACCTTAGAGGATGGCGCCAAGCAGCACAATCTGACAGCAGTCAATGTGCGAAACATCCTTCACGTGAGTAAGACTGGGACGGCTGTGTAATCGGAATGGAAATTTTCTATGAAAAGCAAATAAAAGTACTCAGGAAATTCTTGACTCTTGGTATGTGAATTACTAATTTTGTGAGTTTACATTTGTGAGAAACATCGTTCTATCTCTGGTAGTGAGGAAGATGGACCCGAAATACATACTGCAGTTTTTATCTGTTTTTTTAAAAATATTTTTTATTGATTTTTTACAGAGAGGAACGGAGAAAGATAGGTAACTCACAAAATGTAAACATTTTACATTTCAAGATAGATTTCTCCTTGCACTCAGCACACATTTGAAATCTGAACAAATGTTAAAGAAGAACTTAACTGCGAAGATAAACTGTTCCTCTGGTGCCTTCACTGATTCGATTGTTTACTGTATTATTTTTTAGATTTGAAGATGATATGATGATAATGTTTATACTGGATTTACTCTTTTGTGGGTTAATATGCCTGACAAGATGTCCAGTTAACAGTTTACAGTATTTTGCACATATGCAAATACTGTTGTTCAATATGTAGCAACACAGCAATTTACAAAACTTTTGTTTATTCGTTTCTCTTAAGCATATAGTTACCTTAGAATTTCCTCTTTTTTAAAAAAAATGTATTTTTATTGATTTCAGAGAGGAAGGTAGAGGGATAGATAGAAACATCAATGAGAGAAAATCATTGATTGGCTGCCTCCTGCATCCATATTTGGGGGGATTGAGCAGTCCAACCTGGGACCCTTCAGTCCGAAGGCCGATGCTCTATCCACTGAGCAAAACCAGCTAGGGCAGAATTTCTTTCTATGTAAGCCATTCTTATTCCCTGTAGCAGTTAATAAGCTGTTACATTGCTTGAAGCTGTGTGTTTTTATGCAAAACTTGCTTCTTTGCTTTTAGTTGCCTTGCATTACCCTAATCTGAAGCTGTTTGAGTATATAGCTCTCATTTGTCTCTACATATGTCTAGCAGAATTACAGAGAGATGAATATTATCAGGTGACACATCTTTGTTGCATATTGTGAAATTT